CTAGGCTATACTATAGCGGCTAGTAATGCAGTTTGTTTTACCTTACATTTCTGTCGTTTGCAGAGGAGAGAGAAGGGAATCACCTCTCCCTGTATCTGGATTGATTCAGAGTAGACTGATCGCGAAGAACTCATGTATCCCGCTTCAGCTGACAGGATCCTCGTGGAAGGAGAGGTGCTGTACCGCGACAGGCAGAAGGTGAGATATGAACCAACTGTTTGTGCCCATCCCTCACTCACCCGTGCCTGTTGTTATCATCTGGAGACAGACAGTGCGATGTAATTGTTCAGTTACACTTCTGTTAGTAGTACTAGTACCGTCTTATCCTACTCTCAGCAGCATGTGTGTTCACATAACGTTGTTGTCGATTTTCTCTCCTTTCTTTCCAACAAAATAGTGGCGGTCGCGATGGTGCTGCATGAAGAAAACAAATCCTGCTGGTAAGTGTCTTGCTACGCTCTCCTATCGCGCCCTGTACCCACACGTGCGAGGTCAGATGATTTTCAATAAGCCCGGGCTGGAGTCAATTACTTTCGCAATCTCTTTTCTGAGTGCGCCACAGGGAATCGTCCATGAAGGCATGACCCAATGGCCGGGTTTTGTTCCCAAGCATTCGTTCCTTTACTTTAGCGTGCCGCCGAAAACATTTCGTGAACAGATGGAGGATTTACTCGAGTTCCGAAGACCAGGACTGGTCCTTGTGCCCTGTGTCATACATGATTCTACCGATGGAGTAAATCGAGGGAGCGGGAAGTCTTTCCCTCAGATCTCCCCTGCATGTTACCCATTGTTCACCAGCCGGCGATTTTTGTTGAGCGTACCACTGACACTATTATTTTTGATTCACTTCTTTATACAATGTATAGATTTTGTACATTTGTAGAGCGATCGTACAATGGGGCGTGTTGGGGATAGGACGTTCAGGATTGAGGTCAAGTGACTTCCACTAGTCCGGTAGTACAGTCATGCTCTGTTCTGCTAGCATCCCAGCTACAGTACATGACCATGCTATTGTAATTTGGGTCGTCCGTAAATATGGGTAAGGGGCTTGGTGAGAACCCTGCATTATGCGCATACCTCAGCAGATGTACTGTAAGTAGGGATGTCAGCGAACGCACTGCGCAGGCCTCTGCGCATGCATTGCGTCATCGATTTTTTGAACGTGATCGCGGCCGACAGAGAAAACATGGCCGCGGTCTGCACCGCTGGGAGTCGTAAAATTACTGTTCTTCTGTCCCCGCGACCATTCAAATCATACGCGATACAGGAGGACCCACGAGCTCACCACGTTCTCCCCGGTCGATTTCTCTGAAAGTTTGCACATCGTGAAACACCAGTATGAGAGGTGTTCAGGCCAATTTTCAAGGGATTACCCTGGTTGGATCGTTCCAAAATCGGACTTGCATTTCTCGCTCGCGGCCATTTCTTGCGCGATGGAAGCGCCCTGCCCTGGTGAGTAACCAGCGTCGCGCTTGGTAGAGAGTTGCTGCAATCAGCTCCCTGATGTGTTCGCTGCCATTGTCAGAAGCGATGGGCCCTGAATTTGTTTGAGAGTCTCTGGATGCTACTTTTCCTCAGCCTAGTTTTCAGCCATTCCGTGCATCTTCGCACGATTTATTTTGCAAAAAAATGAAAGGGTTCATGAGTTTTTTTGTCGGCCGCGCGTAGATGGGCCAGGCTGACCTGCGCAGATGGGCTGCGCAGTGCGTTCGCTGATATCCCTACTGTAAGGCTAGTAATGTTAACGAACATTTAATTCTAACGATTTAACGAATTTAAAAAATACTTTAACATTTGATGTCGTTATGTACGAAACGATATGTGCCTGTACAGTCATTTGCCAGTTTTGAGACGGAATTCGTTAGAATTTCACCCCGCTAACGCACAAAAATCTGGAGATCGTTATCTTTAATTGACGTTGAAATATCAGGTCTTACAGTACATTGACAGGTGCTGGTGTGCCCATACTGTAGTATATGCCAGCACGTTACCAGCTGGGCTTTTTTTAGACCTGCCGTGAAATTAACACCCTGTCCATCATTTCACTTGGAATGCTAGTCATAGTTCTGTTCAGCTCTGCCACACTTTGTCCAACTATGTTGTCACATACGCGTGCACGCACGTACACACACACACACACACACACATACCTACATACCCGCCCACATGGATGCATGCACAAATCACAGCAGCCATGCATGTTTGTGATGTGCTTCCGTAAAAGAACGGTTCAGCTCAGTGGAATGCACATGCCCGTCCAGGTTTGTGCGTGTGTGCATGGATATGACATGTAATGTATGCGTGTGCACATGCAAACTCGATGTCATGTTTAGTAGATAGCTTGTTCTTTTAATTCAGCAATGCATGTTGCACTGCGATTTTCAAATGTCGTAGGAATGCCCCACACCCAGCTGCTGATCTATGCGTCTAAGCCTGACACCAGCAGAGCATCTCCGCAAGAACGGCACTCGCTTGAGGATTTCTGTGGACTAGACTACGGCCGGCCGCTCGAGGGAGAAGCCAACGTGCTGACGGTGATAACTGCTCACATATCCTACACATTCGCCTTCAAAGTCTTGCTGGACCTAGAGCGCTGGACTCGTATACTGAAGCGGGAGCTTGGATCAGGTGAGCCGTACGGGGAGGGGTCGTATTGCCGGAGGGTTGGCAACTACACTTCTCTGTGTTCATGGAGCTGCATGCAGTTTGGTAATGGCGATGACGACGGAAGCACTGCCATTCAGTCGTCAGCTGCCAGTTGATCAGAGTGTTTGGCATGCAGTCACTTGGCAAGTTCAAAGGCTTTCTATCCACCATCGTATTCCAGGGGTACTGATTGGTGTGTTTCTTTCTCGGCCGTTTCTCTCTGTTGCCTTCTGTGCATAGAATGGATGTTTGATGTGAAGGTGCTTCCAACCCAGAACAAAATCAAGGCAGGAGAGGCGACACTGCGTTTCTTCCCATCGTACTTCAGCTTAACGTCAGGCAACCCATGCGCCTGTCTCGGATACTGGATGCACAATCAGCTACGGAGATACGGAGGTTCTTCTGGATTCTCCTTTGAGGCTGGCTCGAAGTGTTATGGTGAGGATGGGCTCTCAGAATTTCACACAAGCCAATTTCACATGTATATTGTATTATGTGCATACACGCGCGCGCGCGCGCGTGCGTGTGTGTGTGTTGCCTAATTCCAATGTATGAGCTGCATCTGTACATTGATACTTGAGGGTGGTTGTGCCCCTGCAGGTGTGGAAAATTCAGTCTGAATATCTCATGCCAACCATAGAAGTTTCATATATTTGTCTATACAGTCGTCCCTCTCTAATCCGGCACTTGTTTATCCAGCACCCTTGCAAACCAGCACACTTTCGGGCAAAACGGATTTTTTCAGTTCATTTTCTACGCTTTAATCCGGCACTTGAATTCCGCCTCCAGCAGCGATTTTCTGCAACAAATCACTCAAATTGTACACAATTCAATTTTCTAATCCAGCAGTTGTACATCGCATACCGTCAGGGAGCATTGTATCATACACAACACATGTAACATACACTTGGGAATATCCAATGTACTCGTATTCCCAAGTGTATGTTATAGATATGCATTCCACGAAGTAATTGGATTGACACAGAAAATCCCTACGTTTTGACGTACGACACAAACATGTACGTTAATAGGTGGGCCGGGTTGGAGGGCAGGATTTTATAATCCAGCACCCTTGTTTATCCAGCAGAACATGCCGTTGCAAAAGGTGCCGGATTAGAGAGGGGCGACTGTACTATACTAAATTATCATATTCTTGATCGGTCTGTTCTTGTTCTTGGCAATGTTTTTGGTTGGAAATCAGGTGGCGAAGGTGTGTATAGACTGGAGAGCAAGCATGGAGCTAAAATTAAGGACCTCTTTGACCGTGTGGCCAACAATCGCCCATTGCCCGACCCGCTAAAAATGTCAATGTCTTCAGCGCGTGAGCGCAGCAGCATGGGCAGTGACTCCGCACCGGAAACGTCACCAGTGGGCCATCCGGCCGTACTCGTGTCGTCAAATGCCCGCAGCGTGCAGCGAGCCAGTGACTCTTCAGAGCTGTACACGTTACCGCCAACAATGGCCGCCGCCGCCGGTGGCAACAGCAGCAGCGGCATTCGAACTAGCAGCTCATCCATAGAACACCGCCAGTCGCCGATGACACCGAATAACTCCTACCAGCCAGTTCCCAGCGCTACGTCTCCTGTGACACCTGTCACGGCAGACCTGAACATGGACCGACCACCGATGGCTGTGCCATCCGCGTCGCTGCAAACGGCACCGCAACCCGAAGGTCATTACGAGAACATGGGCGATGGCGGTAGCAACACCTACGCATACGTTCCCATTAAAATACAGCCGAGAAGCATACCAGACGCAGTAAGTGACCGTGCCAGTGTGCATGTGTGTGTGTGGTGCGTGTGTGTGTGTGTGTGTGTGTGTGCTGTTGCTGCTGCATGACTGGAATACCCAGCTCAAGTGAGCATGCAAAAGTCATAAGTACAGTCCAAAGCGGTTAGTACAGGGTGTAGGATATACTCATGATTGTGGAGTACGTACTTTTTGGCAGTTTTGCAGTTGACGTAAAATTGGCACTCTTCAATGTGATTGGAGCATGGGTGTAGTAATCACTTCCGCAAGGAAGTACTTTTTCCGTGTTCCCTTGTGGGTACGTCTTATCAGGTTTTGACTGTAAGCGCGCCCAGCAAGCAGGTCAAAGGTCAGAAGGTAGTAGACAAAATAATCTAAGACCTGGACTTCTATCAAGGACGTATATCTAACGTTGTAATGGCTCGAAGTTCAATCACTAAAATACAGTTCTCTGATACAGTTATACCTGGTATGAATTATGTGTGTATATATTTAAAATCTGATGAGGCCATTCGTACCATTACTCTTCAAAACCAGTACATGGTGATAATGTGACGAAGCACAACTTCCCACCTCCCTGTTATACTTATAATAATGTGACGAAGCACAACTTCCCACCTCCCTGTTATACTTATAGTGCGTGTACTCTTTGGCACTACTCACACTATCATTCAGCCTGTGTACGTTTCATCGCAATTTTCCGCCAATATGCTGCATAAATTGATATCGTTGTGCTTCGTCGCATTATCACCATGTACTGATTTTGAAGAGTAATGGTACGAAAGGCCTCAACAGATTTTCAACTAGCTTCGCCTCTTCGTGTGCTGATATGTTTACCTTCGACTAAGTCTCTATATGTTTCTTCAGAATTCTCAAACTCCATTGCAGCGTATTCCTTGCACTTGAAAACACCGCCATTCCGGCAACAGGCTCTCAGCTGCACCAAATAAATAACTTTGCCAATATTTCGCCCATTGGGCATCATCAGGGCATTGAGGAAGGGGAGGCCAAATTACGAAATATAAAGACGAATAATGCAGGCAGATGAATGTTCTAGAACTAACACATCATGGTGACACAATTGGCAAGGCCAGCAAACTAAACAATCATCACTTGTAAGGTAACCTAAACAAAACGAAAGATGAGAAAACTCACACATACACACAGACACAATTTGGCAAGAAAACTAACACTAACACTAACACTAAAGTTTACAATCATCACCTGTAAGGTGACCTAAACAGAAGAAAGAAGACTAGTAAGACTATCACAGCACGTACAAGAACACTTTCAAGTGTGGGAATGCTAAAGGCGATCTATGTATATGACAGCGGTGTATGTGCAAAGTATGTGTATGTGCTGTGTCAGGTGGTAAAGTCCAGTGGTAGTTCGAGGAGATGGGTGTCGATTCCAGTGACGATCCGGTGACATCCAATCAGTCAACGACATCACCCTGAGGAAGCTCTGTGGGACAACACGTCAACCTCCATTGATGGGAAAGGAAGATGAACGCAAGCTACGGCGCACGAAGGATGACATTATGTCGCTCTATGATGAAGAAGCTAAGAGGAACCGCAAACAATCAACGTTCGTACCGCTGTCCCAAGAAGAGAAAGATGAGATTCAACAGCTCAGGGGAAAACATAATGTTGTCATAAAGCCGTCAGACAAGGGAAAGGGATTCGTCTTGTTACCCAGTACACAATATGATGAGAAAGCCGAAGCCATGCTGGACCAAGAAACTGACTATGAGAAGGTGGCCATGACGGTGGACAAACTGGATGAGGAGACAAGACGTTTTGTCGACACTCATCTGAAGAACAAGCTCCCGGAGAAACTGGAGAAGGCAATTAAACCGAGGCACTCGCGGATGCCAAGGTTTTACGGTCTCCCCAAAGACCATAAGGCAGGATTGCCATTGCGTCCCGTGGTCAGTTCTTGCGACAGTCCTACAAGTAACCTTTCGTTGATTGTTGAAAGGATACTGAATCAGCTCCTTATGTTCGTACCTGCTCATCTAGATAGCACCGAAGCCTGCATTGAAGACATCAAGAGGCATCGCCACGTCCCGGATGGCTGCATCATCGCCTCATTCGATGTAGTGGGCCTCTATTCGAACATTCCTATAGATGAGAGCATTCCGGCCGCTATTACCAAGCTAGAGCAGCATAAAGATGATGTCGACATGCTTGGATTGACGGTTGCGGATGTACAGCTGATGTTGCAGTATGTTCTGTCAAACAACTACTTCTTCGAGTTCAATAGTAAACAGTACCGTCAGAAGCGTGGAATTGCGATGGGGAACCATCTGGCACCTCCGCTGGCCATCCTCTTCATGGATGCGCTTGAACAGAAGGCCCTCTCGACAGCTACAGTGAAGCCAGATCTCTACAAGCGATATATCGACGACTGCATACTACTGTGGAGACATGGCTGGAAAGGTTTAACAGCACTTCTAGATCACTTCAACGGACAGCACACTACTATCAAATTCACAATGGAACACTCGGTCAACGAAACTCAGTCAGTGAACTTCCTGGATCTAGCGCTGTCTGTGCGTGGAAACAGCATAGAGTGGGAGCTCTATGTTAAGCCTTCCCACAGTGGTGTCCACCTGTCTTATGAATCATGTCTCTCCTGGTCGTGTAAAAGAGCTGTTGCAACGAACCAATTCTCTCGAGCTATCCGTAACTCGTCAACACCGGAAGCGGAAGACAGGAGCATGTCCATAATTGAAGAGTTGCTCGAGAGAAATGACTATCCACGCACCGAGATAAACGCAGCACGACGAGCAGCCAAGGGGAAGAGACAAGATACACACCCGTCTCAACAACAGCAGCGTGACAGCAAGCGCAGACACAACCAATTCAAGTCAGTCATCAAACTGCCCTTCATCAACGACTCACTTGCCGCTCGTGTCTCACGACGTGTTCGAAAGTTCAGTCCGCATGTTCGTGTTGTCTTTGTGTCTGGTCCTTCTTTGAAGGATATGTTGGTCCGATCGTCGAGTGCTGTACGTGTGTGTCCCCGTGAGAAGCAGCGATCGGAGGTGAAGAGAAGGAGAGGTCGACCAATGGAGTGTCGTGCATGTGATGCGAGTATGGTGGATAGTCAGTGTTTAGTCAAAGGTGTTGTCTATTGTATGTCTTGCACGTTGTGTGCGGAATTGTACGTTGGTGAGACCGAGCGGCCGGTGAGGGACCGATTCGCTGAGCACTACCGAGAGGCAAGGGCGATGGTGGCGAAGGCTCCCTGGGGCTTCCACTATCGTACCCAGCATCGAGAATCTTTAAAGTCTTCCAACTTTCTGCCCTTCCACCAGGCAAAGATTCTCGGCAGGGAGGCTTCGCTACCATCAAGGAAACTGCTTGAAGCTATCGAGATAAGGAAGCGCAAACCAGCAGTCAATTGCGATGACGGCTGGCGCCTAATTGACTGATTGGATGTCACCGGATCGTCACTGGAATCGACACCCATCTCCTCGAACTACCACTGGACTTTACCACCTGACACAGCACATACACATACTTTGCACATACACCGCTGTCATATACATAGATCGCCTTTAGCATTCCCACACTTGAAAGTGTTCTTGTATGTGCTGTGATAGTCTTACTAGTCTTCTTTCTTCTGTTTAGGTCACCTTACAGGTGATGATTGTAAACTTTAGTGTTAGTGTTAGTGTTAGTTTTCTTGCCAAATTGTGTCTGTGTGTATGTGTGAGTTTTCTCATCTTTCGTTTTGTTTAGGTTACCTTACAAGTGATGATTGTTTAGTTTGCTGGCCTTGCCAATTGTGTCACCATGATGTGTTAGTTCTAGAACATTCGTCTGCCTGCATTATTCGTCTTTATATTTCGTAATTTGGCCTCCCCTTCCTCAATGCCCTGATGATGCCCAATGGGCGAAATATTGGCAAAGTTATTTATTTGGTGCAGCTGAGAGCCTGTTGCCGGAATGGCGGTGTTTTCAAGTGTAAGTCTCTATATATTTAAAAAAAACTACTTCTGTCCACAAATACAGTCTCTGGACTGCAAACTGCATGAAATAAGGCAAGAGAGCTAGCTCTGGACCCTTAGCTATTCTTGTCATCATCATGAATCACTTTTGCTGAGCTAACTGAACTGGTGCTCGGTCACGTGTGAACACCCGCGCGCGCACCTGGTGCCCCGGCCCCGCCCGTCCTTTGTGCCTGCGCCCTGTCAGGTGATCCCCCCCCCCCCCCCCCCCCCCCCCCCGGTGTTCCTGTTACCAATCAACCGATCACTCCAACTTCATGTGCCAACGCTGTGTCACAACATAAAAAGGGCTGGCAATGAGTCGGCCTGAAGATCGCATAGTGGAGTACTGGTGTGATTAACATTCACACAATGGCCAAGAGTGTCTCCAATTTCTTTGCTTTTACCCTGGGATTACCGAAAACAGTTGTCATGTGGTTTTTGGGAGCGTGTGCAGTTTGCAACTTCGTAATAGCTTTTCGTACTTTCGTATTCAAAAATGTTCTGCTGTTTGTGTTTGTGTGTATAGAATGTGAACTATGCAAAGCTTGATCAGGGCTCTTTGAATAGTGCCGGCAACCCTGGGAGTACGGCATTGCCAGTGGCCGCAGGAGCTCGGTCTTCGTCTGCGTCTGGCGGCTCCAATTCAGTCGGTAGCTTGCCGTCTCACTTCCGAGGACGGATGAGTGAGACAACGTATTCCTCGGTCGACATTGATAACACGCACAGCCTCAGGGTTGCACGGGATGCCCAGGCAAGGGATCGACAGCGTCCCATTGAGCAGTAGTGTGAGAGTGTGTGCCTGCTGACCAGTATAATTATAGTCGTTTCTTCGGATGCCTCCTCTCACAATTGCTTGGCTCAGCTACCTGCTATCATGTGTGTACCGCATCCAGTTCACGTGGTACTCATGCAGGGTAAGTAGCACTGGGTGTTTACTTCACTTCTGGCACTTCTGAATGTCAGGCCGTAGCCCTATGCAGTGTCAACTTGGATTTATGACGATGTGGCCAGTGTCGTTTTTCTGTGCGCACGCTCCTATCGGCAACTGAAGCTTTCCGTTAGCCATAGTGCACACAACTGATGCGTGCAGTCAATAATAAACCTCCATTGAAGCATTTAAATAAAATCGGCGATGTGGTCAGGACACGTTTGTCCGTAGTCTGAGGCTACGGCAACGATTCTGTGGCCATAGTCATTTCAAACCCTCTTCAAATAAATTCAATCACTAATCTCAGAACAGCAACTTATTGCCGTAAAACTGGTCATTTCAGAGCTACACGGAGTGTGAATTTCTTGTTGTACCCACCGATGATTTCCAATCTCAATTGTCCAAATATCTGATCCCAGCCCAGATTATGCAAGTTCACGCGACTATTTTTCTTCTTCTTAAAAGGCTATTGTGACACAAAGAACGGATAATATTGGCACCAACTTACCTACCAGCTTCTTTTCACATTCCATGTGTTTGAACACTATTTTTCCATTGATATTTTAAATCGCATTGTCCAGCACACCGCTGCTGAATTGACCTTGACTCCTTATAAATGCAGATTGTAATACCTTTTTTGAGCAATGCTTTGATGCATAGTCGTCGAATTCTTCACGACGACATGCACTGTAGAAGTATTTCCATTTTTTCACCGCACTGGATGATGAGGTGAACTTGCTTTCCTTGAACGTTTCTGATACATAGCATTTATCTTGTTTATTGATGGCAAGGTGGATTCTAAAACAATTCTCTTACTGCCATCATCCTTAGACTGAAACTAGTTTTTTTATGAGCATAAAAATTATTATGGCTGTGTTACCCGGTGGCTGCTTGTGCAGCTCCTGCCGAGATGATGTGCCGTGATTTCTGACGGTTTGCTTGCATGACACATGGCAGTGGTGTGGTATGGGGAGCGGGTCGGGATTAGTACTGGTGCGTGTGAGTGCGTGTGTATGTGTATGTGCTATGTGTGTGCATGCGTTTGAACTTGAGAAGAAGAAGAAGAAAGCTGAGCCTTTGTCGCTGGTCTGAACTAACTAATACTTACACTAACTCTCTTAGTCTTACAGAGGAAGCCTTTTCTCTGGGATTTAGGTCTCTTCGGAGTCAGTGTCGCCTAACTTACTTGCAGAGCCTAGCAACGGTTGCTTCTGGATACGCCTGTCTACTGCACAACTCGATCGATGTACTGGTGCCGTGGTGGGCCATGCCATGGCATGGGGCCGGGTAGTCTTCGTGCATGTGGTACTATGCCATTGCTGGGGATGGGCGCGCAAGAAACAGACTGATGTAAAATCAAACTGAGTGTTTCAGTGACCAGATACTGGTGACAGTAAACCATGGTAAACAGAATCAGTCTGATAGAGTCACTGCAGACCAAGCCAAGTAGACTCGAAATTACGAAAAGAGTATGCAACCATCTGCGGGACGAAGAACGCACAAGTAATCAAACTAATTTTGGTGAATATCGGCCCTTCCCTAGCAGAAGCAGTAGAGCCTAGAGGTGTGTTTATGAGCACTGTGGTAGTCATACGACACTCGTACTCGGAGTAACCGGCCGCGACAACACGCTCAGCGACGTTGCAAACGTAATAGGCAAGCTCTGGTTCGCTTATTGATATTCCACACCATTGCGGCCGTGAGTGAATTCAACTGAACCCTTGTCGGGCAGCGCTTCCGCTAGCATTCCGGTGGTCTTCCTCGCCAAGGCCACTGGCCAATATGGTAAGGCCCTACCAAGACTAATGCTAACACGCACAGGTCAGAATGGTCGAGATACCATGATACAGTACCAGTATGTGTACCGCTGCGTGTATGCCATGACCTGGTGAAAGAGACATTCAGAAATTTTAATCTGGCAAGCACCACCAAGAGCACATGAACAAACGTGTGCAACTCCGCATCTGCAAGTATGCTGCAGAAAACTACTCCACGGCAAAGTTTGGGTTTGTTTTGGCCATCATGAATCATAGGACACTCACTGACTGTAACTCATTGTATCGTAGGTCCAGAGTGGCAAATAGCCGCATCACTGAGGTGATACTGGGAAGCTCGTGTGTGTTTTCATCACGTTGGACCTTGAGCCCGAGGCGAATAGATACCTTCAGGCGCGTGCGCCGTATGGGTTCCTGGGTGCCCGGAACCCCCCTTTTTTTTTCGCTCAAAATGCAGGATTTTGCTTCTTTTTTGAAAATTTTCCAGGGGGGGAGGCCCCCCGGAACCCCCCCCCCCCCTTGAAGGGCACCGGCACACGCGCCTGGATACCTTTGCCTTGGACTCATTCTCCTGGAGTTACATACTCTTGATTATGTATTCTTGGTACAGCACCACATAGCGTACTCACGTGGGTACGCTCAAGAGCACGTGACCCCAAGAGTGTGCAACTCCAGCATACCCTGCTGTCCCGGCAGAATTTCAAGTTGACTCCAAATGTCAGAAACATACGAATTTTGGGCCAGAAAAGGGGGATGTGACTTAGACCCTGGTGCGGCTAACACACTGGAATGATACGGTATAAGCCGCACGTCAGATTTTGAATTTTGGGCCATCCCAACTTGGTGGGTACAAGAACATACAAGACATTTACCAATGGTTAAAAAGTTTTGAAGCACGGCTGAAGCTCGAGCAAGAATTTCTTTGTTTGTCCCTCACTTTGAACCCCATAGAAGCAGCATACAACTGCAATGATGGGTTACTGTGCATGAAAAGTGCTTAAAAAGTAGTCGAATGACACCAAACATTAATGTTATGCATAGCACGCTGTATCACTGATTGATTCATGGCCAGCATTCTGAGTCTTTAGCCGCAGGGATGATTTTTGAGTCATTTTAGGCGTTTCAAAGTGCTGCTAACATCCGGGATTCAAAGTGTGGCTAATACTGTACCCGGGAACTTGAATATGGTATGTACTGATGTGCCTTGTGTACATGACCGTGACTGTGTGTCTGTTTTGTATATGTGTGTGTGTGTCTGTTTTGTATGTGCGTGTGTGTGTTTGTATGTGTGTTTGTATGTGTATGTACATGTACATGTACGTGTGTATGTGACTGTGTGTGTATGGTGTGTGTGTGTGTATGTGACTGTGTGTGTATGTGCATGTGTGTGTGTTTGTGTTTGTATGTGTATGTGACTGTGTGTGTATGTGCATGCGTGTGTATGGTGTTTGTGTATGTGCATGTGTGTGCATATAACTATGTGCATGTGTGTTTGTGTGTGTGTGTCTGCATGCAGAGTGACGTAGATGAGATTATCAAGCGCATGCAGAAACACAAGGGTGTAGTTGGCCTTGTGGTGGTCAATGATGAAGGTGGGTTCAATAGAGCATTGGAGTTTTGTGCTACAAGTATGTCACAGGTATCGTTTTGTGCCGTGCCCTTGCCAGTGACATAGTGCTGGGCGTATGTTTATGTGTGCCGGGCCGGCTGGGTGGAAGGAATTGCTGATAGAAATTGTACGGTGAGATCTTACATCGTGTTGCCTTGTGTTTGTGCACAAGTCTGGTTGTGATGTATGTCTCTATGTGTGTACATTTGTGTGTGTATGTGTGTGTGTGTGTGTGTGTGTGTGTGTGTGTGTGTGTGTGTGTGTGTGTATGTGTATGCGTGTGTGTGTGTGTGTGTGTGTGTGTGTCTGTGGATGTGTGTGTGTGTATGTCTCTATGTGTGTACATTTGTGTGTGTATGTGTGTGTGTGTGTGTGTATGTGTATGCGTGTGTGTGTTTGTGTGTGTGTGTGTGTGTGTGTGTGTGTCTGTGGATGTGTGTGTGTGTGTATGTGTGTGTGTGTGTGGATGTGTGTGTGTATGTCCCTCTGTGTGTGTGTGTGTATGTGTGTGTGTGTGTGTGTGTGTGTGTGTGTGTCCCTCTGTGAGTGTGTGTGTGGGTGTGTCCCTCTGTGAGTGTGTGTGTGTGTGTGTGTGTCCCTCTGTGTGTGTGTGCATATACATGTATGTATGTACCCAATACTGTAGACAGCAAGCTGTTTCGGCCATAAAGGTCCCATGAGTACAGCTACGAGCATAATTATGTATGTATCTATGATTGAGTATGTGTATCTGTAATGTATGTGTGTACAAATTGCGTAATGTGTATGTACTTGTATGTGTACAAATTGCATTATGTTTGTGCGTATGTGTGCATGTGCCGGTGCAGGAATACCAGTCAGAACGACACTGGACAATGCCACGACCGTGCAGTACTCTGGTCTTATACAGCAGCTGGTGGCCAAGTCACGCGGTGTTATCCGCGACCTAGACCCAGTGGTGAGCATGCCGCTGCAAGCTATCATGTCCTACCCTGACGCATTCTAATAGGCTATTGGCATTTGCAAAAAAAAGGTGGTTAGCACGAGACTCTGTTAGACTGAGCTTTCCGCATCCGCAGGAACACCACTACCCTCTAGGATCAAATATACCAGTTGCAGTGTGTCCCAGGGAAATCTTTCCCCTAGTTCAAGAACTGTAGTGTGAGTAGCATTTGGTAGCAGCATTGCCATTTTAGCAAGTGTCTCCAAGGGCTTGCGAGTACACTACACAGTTTGGGCTCCAAAGGACTGCATGACTGTACACTCCACGGTTTGGGCTGGCAAGGACTGCATGACTGTACACTCCACGGCTTGGGCTGGCAAGGACTGCTAGACCCCTGGCACTGGGACTGTGCCCCAGAGGTTGAATTCCACTGACCAGTCACTGCATGCCGATAGATAGCACACCGCCCGGGGCTGTGCTTCAAGTGCGAATGCAAGGGCTTAGCCGCTACAATATTTCCAGTATCTGCAACAGCCACTCTAATTTTTTCCCCAGTCCAAATGATGTCTTCACTCCTGCTATGAAGCTCTTCATTAGTTTTCCATCTGTAAATTGCTACGGTGGAGTTAGCGAATTCCGTTGGGAAATGTCAGTGCCTGTGTTTGTCTGTTTCGGTTCTACCTTGCTTCTTGCCGCTGCCTAGAATGACCTCTGCTTCTTACGGGTCAAGTCCAAGAAACACGAGATCATGGTCGCGCCTGGTAAGTTAGTCTCAAGTGGTAGCGAACTATCTGCCAGTTGAGAGGGGTTGCTTTATGACTACAAGTACGAAGACAAACGCCGTGACTTTGATTTGTCCATTCTTGCAAGAGAGGGAGAGTCACATACACACAGAGCAGTAAATCAGTGTAGATTGTAATATAATAGACGGGGAGTCCCATGGGCAAATTTGGAGCATATGGGTAAACAATATGAGCCAAGAGGTTCAGGCTGGAAGGCTTTTTAAAAGTGACATGCCCCAAACCCAGCGGTGAATCACATGCCAAGAATCCTCAAAGCATTTGTCTTCCCCCAGGGCACTGCATTCAAACAGGGCATCCTCCATAATGTGCAGGCCTAAGTATGAATTGTGAAGAGCCGCATGATGCTGTCCATTCGGGCTGTGACATACCTGTAGATGCGGCTGGGGTCAGGGCCAACTACATGATTGTATACATGGCAGGTCCTGACTCCTGTGTGTGTGTGTGTGTGGTGTGTGTGTATGTGCATGTGTATGTGTGTATGCGCATGTGTGTGTTTGTATGTGTGTGTGTGTGTGTGCCGTTTGCTGCCTATGTCTCCAGAGAATGACTACCTACTGATTGTTGTGCAAGACATCATGGATGACGAACAGTGACACAGAGAGCTGTTGAATGCAGCTAATCTGAAGAACCCGACAACAGATGACGAACAAAACTGCTCACGGTTTCTGTCCTGCATGTGCTTCAACCAACAGTGTATGATCATTGACTGATTATTAATTTGATCACGTGACTATCTCCCTTACTTACACCCTCACCATACCAACAAACAGAGCTGTTCTAATGAATATTGCCCATCTCAAGCCGTGTGTCCGGTCTCCGGTGGAGCACTGTCGATGTGTCTGTGTTGTGTATGAGTGAATGGAGTAGCACTGCCTGTTCTTCATTTTGACTATGAAGTATAGTACATTGTAGCGAGGTCAGGGGGCTGGTTGACAGCCTCCAGGCATCCGGAGGCTCGGAGCCATTGACATGTAAACTAATACGGCGTGGATCAATCCTTGTATATCTCAACAAACACAACCGATGCCCAGTCAATGATACAGTCAGACCTCACTTGTCCGGATCCCTCGCCATCCAGAAGAAAATCATTGATTACCGATTTACAGCATATGCCATGCATACATACAGTATGTGTGTTAGACTATGCGGTTCACTCGCCTGCCAGCTAGTTCGGTTGGTGGGTACACTTATGCCAGACAGTGTTGGGCCTGTTGCCAACGGGCTCGGCTGCTTGAAGGTGTATTGTTGTACCTACCACCTTTGTTGGTTTCAGGGTTCATATACTTTCTATTTGAAGTATACATACCTGTTAACCATGGACTGCTTCTGGCTAGATTAACTCTTGTGTAATCAATGGTGCTAGTGAAGATTATATCAGATCCACTCTGATTTAGCCACCCACACTAGTACCAAGTATTACCTTCACTGGGGGGCAGGGGTACCTGCAGTTGGATCCCGGGACGGATACCCTGATGCCGTCAATCCTTTTTCTGCACCTTGTCCTCACCCACTTACTGAGGTGTGGTGAGCCCATAAGTGGGATCATTTCAAGTCCACCCTCGTTTGGGGATTTCAGGGGGTGTCGGCCGTTGGGTGGTTCAATAGCCAATTGAGTCATCTTTCCAAGATTCCTTTTGAGTCTCTCTCCCCTCTCCCGGGGAGACCCACGTGACCAGTTTTGGCAGTGAGCAAGTACAAGTACACTCGCCTATCTGGATATTTTTGTGGAAAACGGATGTATGCGGTTATGCGAGGTCTGACTGTAATATAGAGGGAAACCTGTCTATGCTCAAGGACCTTGAAATGACATCACAGGGTGCGACCTGGAGTGGTCTTCTGGGACAGGTGGTCGGTCATCTCATCCGAGTGGTTACAGGTTTTACTGAAGTCTTCTGGGACAGGTGGTCGGTCGTCTCATCCGAGTGGTTACAGGTTTTACTGAAGTCTTCTGGGACAGGTGGTCGGTCGTTTCATCCGAGTGGTTGCAGGTTTTACTTAAGTCTCTGCACGCAAGTCATTATAGAATGGCGTGGGGCCACAATGTAAGGATGTTAGCATGTACTGTGGAAAGTCGGTTTTCGCGTTCGATGCACGTACAGATTCAGCAGGGCGAGCTTCAGCTTTTCAGTCCTGCTATTATTACCTCTACATGTACTCCCTCTTCGCAAAGATCGTGAAGATTTTACGTTGCAACTACAGTCGATGATGTGATTATGGACTCTTGGTCAGATATAAAATGTCTAAACTGGTGGATGCCACGAAAACAAAATAGCAGCAGCAGCACCACCACCACCAGGCAATACTACCAGCTACATGTATGCGGAGAGCACAGTAAAACTGACGTTACTCAAACCTCAAGCAATGGTATATGTAAGTTACACCAAAATTCAATGTGGTATGCGACAACATGACGACTGTACATACTATTTACAGAGGTAGGTTTAGGCTGCTCCGAAACACACAGACCATACATGTATATACATAGTCATGGTCATAACCATGGTCATACGCCAGGCAACGATGATCATGATTAAGAAGCAATGTTCAATAACAACAACAACAACAACAACAATATGTACAGGAATACTACAGACAGAAATGTGGGGACAATAGTAAGCAAACAAGCGTTTCGGAGACAGCAGTTTTAATATAACAGTTAGCAACAAGGACGACTAATTGCACTGTAAGCATTCGTCATCCTTGTTGCTATATTAAAATAGTAAGCAGTTTGGGCCTACAAAAGCAAATTCAAAATTTGTCCAAGTACATACCTACTACCTAGCTATAGACCTATTTACTAATACAAGTACATGTACATGCATGGGTAGTACACTCGATCTTTCATTCTCTGTTCAAGTTACACTGATAGTAGATATGATGCGTTCCGGAGTGTGTCAAGTAAGTTAAATGGGATGGCCAGTACAGTCAAGGTGAGCCAGTGTCGGCGGATGGTTGCACAGGGTTTGGTTGTGTTGGTGCATCGGAAGCAGATGCCGCTGCCACGGCGGTGCTTGCAGAAGTCGAAGAGGGTGTCGGCGCGCCATCTGCTGGACGGCTTTTCTTGCGAGAACGAATTTCATCCATCGCCACCTCGATGGAGCGAGAGTCTCGCTTTAATGAAACGGGCACTGCAGGTGGATGGGTGAGCACCAAGCACAACACACATCAAGAAAGACCGACATCAATCGGAAACTCATTACGGTACCACGCATGGAGTGCCTTACTCAGGCAGGCGAATGTATACCACTGCAAGCTGGGGGCAAAGTTTTAAAACTAGTGCACAGGAGAATCAAAACTTCTATGAAAAACGAAATCCTGACCAACGTACGCACTTAGTACTTGGCGAGAAATCCACAGAATTTTGCCCTGAGCAGTCAACAGCTATACGCACTGCTCTGCTCAGCTACATACTTCAATAGCCCCAAAGGCTATAGCGGAGCACACACCAAATGAAGTCAGCAATACACACGAGCTGTGACTACAGGAAGCACTTGAACACTTCGACACATCTGCGGGGGAAGAGGCGCGAGTTGTCATGCTCGCACAGCCCATGTATGTCCTTACCACAGCCAAACACCTTGGTGCCATCTACGCTTAGTGCAACCTTCTCCTCGGTCTCGTTGCCAATAATCTTCTTGTATTTGTTCATGTAGTCGCTGTTCGGTGCAATTTCAGGCTTAGGTCGAGCCAGCCTAGTAGCAGACTGTGTAACAAAAGACAAACAGAGCATGCATCACTGTCATAACTAGTTAGTATGCTAGAATATATAGTATATAGTCAGAGGTTGTGTGTGTGTGTGTGTGTGTGCGTGTGTGTGTGTGTGTACACGCATGCGCGTGAGAAGTAATACCCAGAAAGGTAGCTATTAAATGTCATAACTTACTGCACTCTGCTTTGCTGCCTCTGCTGCTGCTGCTACTGCTGCGGGGTCGTACGGCTATGCAGCAGAAAACGCAAACAAAGAGTTGTACGTTGGCGGACAGAATAAGAATCAATCCAAAATTAAATTCTAAATATTATTAGAGATACCGGTTCACCGCCAACCTAACACAATAAATATACCCTAAGTGGATCAAAGGCACAGAGAAAAAGACAACTGAAAACAAAACATGGTTTATGCCAGCCAGGATTATAGATGGTTTGGAGGCAACAACGTTGTGAATGGCCAACGGTCCTCAGCGTTTGTTCAGCACCTGCATGAGCGACACTGACTCACGCTGCTATCTGGTGTTCACGAGGTGTTTGTCGCGCTGGAAACGGAACGTCTCTGTAAGTTTGTATCCCTGGTGATGGTTTGGTCTGGAGAGCAATATATAAGTGGTGCTCTTCAGACACAATCTTCCTCAGCCTACTCAAGCTCAACTGATGAGGGGTGAATTCCCCGAAACACTGTGTATTGGGCAGGAAGTGGTGCTTTCTTGCAGGTTCGCCGAGTGGAAGGTTCGATGGACTTCTCGTGTGCTCTGTATGGCAGTCGTGGGTCAGTCAAGTGAGAATTCAAGTGGGCAGGAAAAGCGCGAGCTCCCACGTAGGGAGCACCACACAATTCCCCAAGTATCGCCGAAGTCGCATCACCCTCTTCTTCACAGGATTATAGAAATTCAAGAAAAATTGAAGTGTGAATGGTATCACAAGCACACGGAGGTCACAAACATAATACTTGCTTACCACGCCCGCCCTTAGCGCCGCTAACTCTGCATCGCACGGTGCCTGCTCCTGTGCACACACAATACGGGTACAAACAAGTATCAATCACAGCGCTACTTACATACTGCTGGCAGTAGGAATGACAGAGTTGGTTCAGGCCCACGGGCGCCCTGCCCCAAAAGTGAGGTATTCTGGTAAACATACCGGTACATGTGTGCCGCATGATGGGACAACTTCAGATTAGACCTACCTTCTTCCATATAATGAGATGCCGATTAACGTCTTCCTCTCCAAAAGCAAAGCTAACTAGGCCAGCAATGTCGGCTATCTCATGTCTGGAGTACAACAGAAATAAAAAACATGCACTTAGAGAGAGAGAGAGAGAGAGAGAGAGAGAGAGAGAGAGAGAGAGAGAGAGAGAGAGAGAGAGAAGAGAGAGAGAGAGAGAGAGAGAGAGAGAGAGAGAGAGAGAGAGAGAGAGAGAAAGAGAGAGAGAGAGAGAGAGAGAGAGAAAGAGAGAGAGAGAGAACACGACAGGAAAGGTTCACAGTCAAAAGACAAAGTACCGTATTTTCCGGAGTATAAGCCACAACCCCCATATTTTTGCCAATACAGACATCTATGCTTTTTATCACCGTTAATTTGATCATCGGAGTATAAGCCGCACCCCCTTTTTGTGGGTGAATTTTGAGCGCTCAAAGTGCGGCTTATACTCCGGAAAATACGGTAGATCGCAAACTCCCTTTCACCCACCTCAGCCTATTAAATGTAATTTAAATCTCTATCACACTTATACATGCATCATGCCAGAATATGGTCACCGTACCAGGATCCCATGACGTTGCTCTGTGGCTTGCATTGTAGCGCGCAAAACAACTCTAGTACACAGAGTGAAGAGATGCGTACAAATAGTGCTACATGGTTGTACTTACACAGCACTGCGTTCCACTTGATTCATGGGCTCCAACTCCAACTTTGTCGTCTCATCGCTCTGGCAGAACTTGTTGATCTTCAAATCCATCTACAGCACAGTGGCAAAGAATCAAATAATGTAGCTGAGAGAGAGAGAGAGAGAGAGAGAGAGAGAGAGAGAGAGAGGGAGAGAGAGAGAGAGAGAGAGAGAGAGAGAGAGAGCACACGCACACACACACACACACACACACACACACACACACACACACACACACACACACACACACACGCATACCTTTGGACTTTTGGAAAGCCCATCGCCGAAGGCGATGATAGCACACACACACACACACTCACACATGCACAAATTTAATAATGTTGAAGATGGCCACCATAGTACGGGAAACACGTGAAAAGTGAAAAGTGGGCAATAACC